CTTGTACTCTATAAAATGTTTTTTTAAATGTAAATGAACAGAGCACATCATTAATTTATAATGAGGGCTCAATGACCTCAATCGGATACTTATTAGTAAAGTTATGCTATACTGTATTGAATTATAATTATTCTCTATAAACTCACCTATAAAGTTCTGAGAAAAAGGACTTTAAAAGTACTAAAGAATTTGAAGAAAAATCACAGAAGCAGTCAAAGAAACTCCTTAGCAACAACACAGTTCTCATTGAGATAATTTCGATGATATTTTCTACGGTTGCTGGAAGTAGGTTGGGAAACAGAAATATATAATATTTTTAAGTCAATACCCCGGGGGTTTATTAGTGATACCCCGGGGGAAATTGGTTATACCTTTATAAAGCTGAAGCATCCACGTACTGATTATGGCATCCCCATTGTTCTGATGAATTTAGTAGACATAAGGAGTGTTCTATTCATCAAGCCTTGTTACAGAGGGTGCTTTGTCGGGGTGGTGGATGCAAAAGGGACAGGGTGGGGTTATAGGAGTCTGGATTTATTGTTATAAATATATAAATATTTTAAAAATACAAAATTTTCAGAATTATGTAAGTACAGAACTTGCAAGTGAGCAGGATTTCTATTGTTGCAAACAAAAATGTAGCATGGGGAGGTGGTAAGGATGTTGTAAAGAGGGGAGAGATGATTTTTTATTAATGTAAAAAATAGATATATATTGACGTTTGAAGTTCACATACATGTGTAAGAACTCCCTGTTAACAACATGATTCTTAGCTTACAAGGAAAATTTGTACATCAGGTGGGGTGGGGGATTGTGGTTGGGAAGTAATGTTTTTAAAAAACATTGAAGTCATTGATAAGATAAAATTATCGGTTTTAAATTTCCTTAAGCATGTATGTAATATAAATCATAATTTTTACACAAGGCCAGGCATCCAGGCCCTATCCCAACACGATCTCTGAGTCAACAATGATGCTCCCTGGTAGGGCTTGTGGTGTTCTTCGCATCTATTCAGACGCGAAGGAGAATGCCTCTTCAACAAGCTGCTTAAGCAAGACAATAATTCCTCCATTCAAATTATCGGTTCCATTATTAAAATACAAATACAAATTGCAAATTATTATTATTATTATAAAATACTGGTAGATCAAATCAACTACTCTCTATCTTCTTTAAAATCAAAACATTTAGCTTTATTTATGCTTCCGCAAAACTTAATCGAATGCTAGGCCTATACCGGTACCTTTGTGCCCAGTGATTCAAATCAAATTACGCCAAGGGCTGATGGGAAATTTTGCTAAATTATACCAAATATAAATGTAATTGATATATATATATATATATATATATATATATATATATATATGCCTATATATATATATATATATATATATATATATTATATTTTATTTTTTTTTTTTGCACTCTTT